CTCCTGGCATGGGCCTGGATCACGCCCGGCTGATGTGGCCATCTGGGGAGTAAACCAGGGCATGGAAGATATCCATGTGTCTAAGTGTGTGTCAGTCTGCCTTTCAAATAAATCAATCTAAAAAAGAAAAAGAAGGGGCCAGCGCTTTGGCACAGTGGGTTAACGCCCTGGCCTGAAGTGCCGGCATCCCATATGAGCACCGATTCAAGTCTCGGCTGCTCCACTTCTGATCCAGCTCTCTGCTGTGGCCTGAGAAAGCAGTAGAGGGTGGCCCAAGTCCTGGGGCCCCTGCACCCGCATGGGAGACCTGGAAGAAGCTCCTGGCTCCTGGCTTCGGATCGGCAAAATTCCAGCCGTTGCGGCCAATTGGGGAGTGCACCACCGGATGGAAGACCTCCGTCTGTCTGTCTCTCTCTGCCTCTCCTCTCTCTGTGTAATTCTTTCAAGTAAATAAATAAATCTTTAAAAAAAAGAAAAAAAGTTTAGAATTACTTACTTATATTTCAGTACCAGATTCCAAAAGGAAATGATGTAAGAAAAGCTGATTCATCCCTTCACTGTGCACTGAGGGCAAATTAAGTGCTGAGAACATGAGGGGCAGCTCTTTCAAAGACGAAGGTTGCCCAGGCGACCGTCTAGAACATTCTTAAGCTGCCTTACCCCAGGAATTAGGTGTAAAGACAACAAAAAACACCACTTGAACCAAACAAAAGTGAAGAGCTCAACTATCTGAGGGCTAGGACTAAATTTAATCTCATCAGCCATGTCACAGCACACCTCAGATACTTAGTGAATTACACCGACAAAGGAGAAATCAAGTTAGGAGTCATCAGCTTGCTGTTGCCTCAGCCAACCTACATAGAATATTCTACAACCTGGGGCCAGCACTGTGGCATAGCAGGTAAAGCAGCTGCCTGCAGTGCCAGCATCCCATATGGGCGCCATTCCAGTCCCTGCTGCTCCACTTCAGATCCAGCTCCCTGCTAACATGCTTGGGAAAGCAGCAGAGGATGGCCCAAGTATCTTTAAAAAAAAAAAAAAAAAAAAAAAATTTACTTATTTGAAAGGCAGAGATACAGAGAGAAAGACACAGAGAGACAATCTTCCATCCACTGGTTCACTCTCTAACTGGCTATAACAGCCAGGCCTGGGCCAGGCTGAAGCCAGGAGCCAGAAGATTCTTCCAGGTTTCCCACATGGGTGCAGGGGCCCAAGCACTTGGTCCATCCTCCACTGTTTTCCCAGGTTTATTAGCAGGGAGCTAGATCAAATGTGGAGCAGCCAGGACTAGAACCAGCGCCCATATGGGACGCTGGCACTGCAGGCAAAGGCTTAACCTTCTATGCCAGCCCCAACCCAAGTACTTGGGTCTCTGCACCCACGTGGGAAACCAGGAAGCATCTCCTCACTCCTGGCTTCTGACTGGCCCAGTTCCGGCCAATGCGGCCATTTGGGGAGTCAATCAGTGGATGAAAGATCTGTCTCTGCTTCTCTCTCTCTCTCTCTCTCTCTCTCTAATTCTCAAATAAAATAAATGAATCTTAAAAATAGAGTACTCTATAACCTGGGGCCTACATTGTGATGAAGTGGGTAAAGCTGCTGCCTGCAATACCAGCATCCCATAGGGGCGCCAGTTCGAATCCCAGCTGCTCCACTCTGATCCAGCTCCTGGTAATGGCCTGGGAATGCCGTGAAAGATGGTCCAAGTGCTTGGGTCCCTGGGATCTCCCTGGAAGATCCAGATGGAGCTCCAGGCTGACTTGGGCCTGGCCAAGCCCTGGACAGTGCAGCATTTGCAGAGTGAACCAGTTAGTGGAAGATCTCTCTCTCTGTCTCATCTTCTCTCTTGGTCACTCTGCCTTTCAAATAAATAAAACAATTTTTTTTGTTGTTGTTGCTAAAGTCACCTTCCCCCACATATCCGAATTTGGTAGATACAAAGCCTAGGAGAAAAAGAACAGGCGAATAAGCAAAATGCCAGGGACATTTCTTTCTTTTAAATAAATAAATAAATAAGATGCATTTACTTACTTGAAAGGCAGAGCTAGAGAAAGACAAAGACACACACACACACACACACACACACAAGGGCATCCATCCACTAGTTCACTCCCCAAATGGCCACAACGGCTGGGGCTGGGTCAGGCCAAAACCAGGAGGTTGGAACTCCATCCGGGTCTCCCACGTGGTTGCAGGGTCCCAAACACTTGGGCCATCTTTCACCGCTTTCCCAGGCACATTAGCAGGGAGCTGGATCAGAAGTGGAGCAGCCGGGACTCCAACCAGCATTTGCAGGATGGCGGCGTCACACAACAAGCGGCTTAGCCCACCCCCAGGGGCCTTTGTCCCAGGCTCTATCCAGGCTGAGGTGAGCTTCAGTGGCACAACAGAAGGCTTTATTTTGGATCCAAGACTTCAAAATGATAGACTCAGAGAAGGGAAATGATATGGAAGAAACAATATAAGGAGGGAGATTCCAGAACCTCCTTCCAAGAAGAATTCATATTCATTTCAGTCATTCAATCAAAAAATATCTATAGAGTACTTAGCATGTGCCACACACTATTTTAACCACTAGGGATACAACAAAGAATTTTTAAAAAAGGGAGGGGGGGCAGTGCTATGGCACAGCAGGTTAACGCCCTGGCCTGCAGTGCCAGCATCCCATATGGGTGCTGGTTCAAGACCAGCTGCTCCACTTCCGATCCAGCTCTCTGCTGTGGCCTGGGAAAGCAGTAGAAGATGGTCCAAGTCCTTGGACCCCTGCACCCACATGAGAGGCCCGGAAGAAGCTCCTGGCTCCTGATCAACGCAGTTCCGGCCGTTGTGGCCAACTGGGGAGTGAAGAGGCGGATGGAAGACCTCTCTCTCTCTCTGCCTCTCTCTCTGTGCAACTCTTTCGAATAAATAAATAAATTTTCAAAAAAAATATTTATTTAAAAAATAAAGAATTTTTTTAAAAAGGTGGCGGGGAGGGAGGGGTAAGTGTTTGGCCTGGCAGTTAACAATCAGTCCCGCAACCATACCGGCAGTGTCTGGTGAGATGCCCATCTCTGGTTTCCAGCTCCAGCTTCCTGCTAACGCACACCCCTGGGAGGCAGCAGTGATGGCTCAAGTACATGAGTTCCTGCATTCACCTGGGAGACCGGGAGTGAGTTTTGGGACCAAAGTTACTGCAGGCACTTGGGGAGTGAACTGGTGGACGGGGGCTCACTCTTTGCCTCTGAATTAAAAAAACAGAAAACAAAAAACTCCTACCTTCAAAGAGTTTGTATACTATAGAAGAAGTGAAGTTCAGGGGCCGACGCTGTGGCATAGCAGGTAAAGCCGCCACCTGCAGTGCCGGCATCCCATGTGGGCGCTGGTTTGAGACCCAGCTGTTCCACTTCCGATCCAGCTCTCTGCTGTGGCCTGGGAAAACAGTAGAAGATGGCCCAGTCCTTGGGCCCCTGCACCGTGTAGGAGACCTGGAAGAAGCTCCCGGCTTCAGATCGACCCAGCTCCGGCCCTTGCAGCCAACTGGGGAGTGAACCAGCGGATGGAAGACCTTTCTGCCTCTCTGTAACTCTGCCTTTCAAATAAATAAATAAGCCTTCTTAAAAATAAGTGAAGCAAAAAAAAAAATATATATATGGTACGTGAGCTGTTGTGGGTGCCTTGGGAAAAAATAAGCATATTTATTCAGCGGGATGCGAATCGGCGATAAGAAGCTGTATTTACATAAATGGGTAGGCATATCTGGCACAGGTTGAGACCAGCTCACAAAGCCTGCACCCCACATCGGAATGCCTGGGTTTGCATCCTGGTTCTGCTTCTGATTCCAGCTTCCAGATCTGCTGTGTACTCCGGGAGGTGCCAAGTGACGGCTCCAACGCTTGGGTCCCACCACCCACACGGGTGTCCTGGATGGAGTTGCAGGTTCCTGGCTTCAACCTGGCCCAGCCCTGGCAGTTGTGTGCATTTGGGGAAGGAATCAGAGGACAGAAAATCAATCTCTCTCTCTCTGCCTTTTGAATAAAACTAAACAAAAATTTTAAATAGAAATCAATAAATAGGTAAGGCTCAGGAAGTCCCCACTGAGAACAGTCCTTTAACCCAAGATTGAGTGAGGGGGGGAGAAAACGCTAGGGTTACCTGGAGAGAGAAACAGCAGCATCAGTCAGTGCGAGAAAATGGAAACTGCCCCAGCAGAGTCGAGAGGGCAAAGAAAAGCAAAGACAACGGCAGGACACTTCGCTCAGTGACAAAGGTGAGCCGGGGACAGCTCCTGGGAAACCTTGAAAGTCCCCTCATCCCACAGCCCTCACAGCGCAGGTGTGCAGTATTTCTTGGCTCCAACACACACGCGGAGCTGCCTCTTCTAGAAATGGGGTTCACGTGTGCTAATCCACCTAGGCTGGGCGAAACGGAGGCATCGGGTCTGCGGTGCAGGCAGGCCCACCTCTCCACTCTTCCCTCGACAGGGGAGCCACTGGCTGCCGCACCCCTGTTTCTGAGGCTACGGCTTTATCTCCCGAGTTCTGGAATAACTGCAGACAGGGGCCACCGGCCGGCAAGTGATCTGCATCCAACAAATGCTGGACTTCTTCTCTAACTCCGCCCCAAAAACAGAGGCCAGGCATCCTACCCTTTTCCTCCCGGCCCTGACGGATGCTTTTTAAGATCGGAGGTAAAGGAAAAGGTTGGCCAAAGGCCCAGGAGCCGGGCCTCCTGTCACCGCTTCAGGTGCCACATGGCATTTTGTCAAGACCCAGCCTGGGGTGAAGATGCGGAGCCAGCGTCCGAGGCCTGGACCGGTCGTCGGCGCCAGGTGAGGGTGACAAGGGGCGCGAGGGGCCCGCACGGACCAAACATCCCAACTCCCTAGCAAGTCACCAGACTTCAGCTCCATCCCGTCGTCAGAGGATTCCAGCGGCCCTCAACCGACGGCAGCGTCCGTCCGAGCCACAGCCAAACGCCGCCTGGCCGGACAGTCCGGGGGTGCCCTCCCCGATACTCACATCCCCCTGGTGCAGCTCCGGCGCCGCGATCTTCACGGGCTCCGTCCTCTTCTTTGGCTTGGGAAGCCCCAGGGTGGGCCCGGCACCGCCGACAGGGGGGGGCAGACTGACGCCAGGGCCTCGGGGCGAGGGCGCCCCCAATCCCAGCCCCTCCCCGACTCCCGCCGCTTCTGCAGGGCTCACGCCTGGAGGTGGGGGGAAGCCGCCCAGGCCGAAGGGCAACGGGGGAGGAGGCTGGAGCCTGGGGTCTCCGGCGGGTGGGGGCAGCAGCAGCGGCGGGGGGAAGGCTGGGGCCAGCATCTGGGGGGGCGGGGGCAGCAAGGCCGGACCCTTAGGTGCAGGGAGAGAAGCGAACAAGCCCCCTAAAGCGGGCCCAGATGTAGGGGCCTCTGCCTCCTCTTCCTCTGGCTCCGGCTCAGCCTCATCCGGCTCACTCTCATCGCTGCTGGCGTAAGCAACCAGCGACATGGCGCCTCCCGCCTTTGGGGCGCCCTTGCCGGCAGACGAGGCCTACTTGAGACCGGGGATGCCCGGAGGCCTAGTAGGCCCCGCTACTCGGCAGGGCGGGAAACCAAAAAGCCCGTTTGCTCTGAACTCTAGGTCTAGCCCCGGCAAAAGCCCATGGCCACGGTTGATTTCCACCGAGTAATTCTTCCCTCTTCACTTAAGCTCCTAGTCCCGGGCAACTACACACAGCTAATGGCCGCCGAGTCACTCCGCCTCCTCTTCGGCGCACCAATATAAGAACTACTACTCCCAGAGAACACTTTGGAAACAGCCCCATTCTCCACCACAGGGATCTCAGCGCAAGGCAAGGCGGGAATTGGAGTCCGAGAAAGGATTAAGGGGCGCGCAGAAAGACAGAAGGGAAACCCGCCTCTGGCGCAGGGACTTGTGGGTTGAGTAGTTTTGTTGTTTACATGGTAAGTCCTAGGTGACTACCAGCCCCATCGGCAACCGCGGTAATTATGAAGACTTGTAGGAGAGCATTTCGGTACTTGTAGTTCACTAGGGTAGGCCCCTGGGCGCTAAGCCTTATGGGATATGTGGTGTGCTTACAAACTCCAAGTGATGTCGCAAAGAGAGGGAGTCTGGGAAGGTGGAGGATTGGATGGGCGGGGGAAGGGGGCGTGGGTGTAAATAGCTTAAAGGGAAAGTGATCTGTAAGTGAACTGATGGAGCTCCTGAGTCCGCTGAGACTGGGAGTTAGGAGGAAAAAAAAAAAAAAAGCCAGGATCCGAGGCGTCTGTACGAAATTGAACTGCAAGTCGCCAGAAAGAAAGCGAGGCTGCAGACCCATTAATAAACGTGTAAGATAGCTGAAGTAACTGTGGCGTAATAGGAAGGAGGCGACCTCCTTTGCCATGACTAGGATGCATCCAGGAGCACACCACACCCTGGAGCCTGGGCCTGGCCACCCCCTCCCCGGCAGCAACCAGCGAGACGGAAAGATGGCAGCGCCCTGGGAGCCAGGTCCTAGGGGCTGATTCCAGCTCCTCAGCTCAGCGCCCTAAAGGGACAGTTCTAAGGAATCACCCGCGTCCGTCCCTACTGGCCTGTGCCCCGCAGGTCCGTCAGCAGGTGGCCTCTGCCTCCCCCGTGAGTGCTGTCTGCCATGCCCCGGGGTGTGTCCCGATGGTATTTGCCGCTGCGCTGGCCCTCCTTGTCCATCCATGTGTGTGGGCATTCATGCCTGCCTGGGGCCATCTGCCCAGCAGCTCGCCTTCCTTGTCCCCTGGTGATTTTGTGTCCTCTTGTTTCTCCATTTTTGCCCCTGCCTGCCTGCCCGGGGCTGAGAGCCCTGCCTGTCTTTTACAGGCTAATCCACCCCTGCGTGGGCGCCAGCTCCCTGCTCCCGGCTAGCAGAATCCTGTTGAGCTCAGTGCATCCGGCTTCATAGGCAAACTCATCACACCGCCTTCTCCACAAAGCCTGCTGAGCCTCCATGCACATTGGCTTTCTTCTCTGGATGCCTGGAGTTTCTTCTCTGCAATGGTGCTCGAACCTCAATATGCTCGACCATCGCGAGGAAAGCTTCTGAACGAGTCCAACTCCTGGATTCTGGTTTCAGAGGCTCCTTTTCACCCTGTGTGGGATCTGGATCTTGGAGAAACCCAAAAAAGGCACATGTGGAGAAACTGGCCTGGCAAGTGCTGCCGGGCAGCTGGCATGCCTTGCGCCACGCTGACTTCTGCAGCCTGCCTGGAATCTGGCCTCCCCACGCTGCACCCTGGGGACTTTAGGTAGACCGGTCTCTGAGTCTCACTTTCCACCTCTGAAAAATGCATAGAGCATGACAGGGCCCTGTCCCACTTGCGCAAGAAACGCCTGCCGTTAGCACACAGGGAGAGGGCTCAGCGCTAGCACGGCTTGCTGACCTGTAGGGGGAGGACAGGCACCTACCTTTGTTTAGTAGCTATTTTCTTTTTCAAAGACATTTATTTATGGGACCCGGCACTGTAGCGTAGCAGGTTAATCTGCTGTCTGCAGTGCTGGCATCCCATATGGGTGCCAGTTGGAGTCCCAGATGCTCCACTTCCCATCCAGCTCTCTACTATGGCCTGGGAAAGCAGTAGAAGATGGCCCAAGTCCTTGGGCCCCTGTACCCGTGTGGGAGACCTGGAGGAAGCTCCTGGCTCCTGGCTTCAACCTGGCCCAGTCCCAGTTGTTGCAGCTATTTGGGGAGTGAACCAGCGGATGGAAGACCTCTCTCTCTGTCTCTTCTTCTCTAACTCTGACTTTCAACTTAAATAAATCTTAAAAAAAAAAAAAAAAAGACTTTATTTATTTGAAAGGGAGAGTTACGGAGAGGCAGAGAGAGAGAGAGAAAGAGAGAGAGAGAGGTCTTCCATCCGATGATTCACTCCCCAAAGGCCTTAATGCCTGGAGCTGAGCTGATGCGAAGCCAGGAGCTTCTTCCAGGTCTCCCACATGGGTGCTGGGGCCCAAGGACTTGGGCCATCTTCTACTGCTTTCCCAGGCAGAGAGCTGGATCAGAAGTGGAGCAGCCAGGACTCAAGCCAATGCCTGCATGGGATGGCAGTGCCATAAGCAGCAGCCTTACCCACTATGCCACAGCACCGGCCCCCCAATAACTATTTTCTAAGCTGTATTTTCTCTTACTGTAGAAAGTAAGGTAAACTATAGCAGCATTTTGGAAGGTGGAGGGCAGCTTCACCAGAGGTAGCTGACTTGGCACATCGCAGAGAAGCTGAGAAACGAGAGGCGGGGCGGGGGGTATGGATCAGCCTCATGGATGTCGAGCCACAGTGCAGAAGCCGCAGAAGGCACAGAGCGGTGGCATCAAGGAGCTCTGGAAGCGAAGACAGCCGAGGGCGGGTTAAATGCTGTTTGAGAAACAGACACCCACGCCCGCTCGAGGAAACCTGCTCTCTCCAACCCCAGAAAAAATAAAAGCGGGTTTTTCGTAAGAGAGGATAAGACATGGTTTCTGCTATGCAGAGAGCCAGGCACAGTCCAGGGCAGGGGGATGGCACAGAAATCGGGGGAACTAAAGCAAGATGCCTGTGCGGTATCCAGAACCCAGCCCCATTTCTGCCAGAAGACAGGCCCCAGAGAAGATTCTGGAAAAGTCTCTGTGGAAAATCTGTTCAGCCCAAACAGAAAGACCTCTGGAGTCTGACACCAGCTCACCCCCATGCAAAGCTGTCAGTTGAGAAGCCCCAGGCACGTGCCCAGGAGAGCAAGGTGACTTTTTAGCACCCTACTCTGAACCCAGGAGCAGGTACCAAGGATTCAGCTTGGCCTGGTCCAGCCCGGGTGTTGGGGCCATTGGGGGAGTGAACCCCCCCCCCTCTCTCTGCATCCTCTCTCCTTGTAACTCTACCTTTTGAATAAATGAATAAATCTTAAAAGAAAGAACGAGATCATTGTCCTGAAATCTGTTTCTGTATATACTCATATAGGTATATACACGAGGGCCTTCAAAAAGTTCATGGAAATGTGTATTAAGAAAAACCAGCCAGGCCAGCACCACGGCTCAATAGGCTAATCCTCCACCTGCGGCGCCGGCACACCGGGTTCTAGTCCCGGTCGGGGCGCCAGATTCTGTCCCGGTTGCTCCTCTTCCAGGCCAGCTCTCTGCTGTGGCCCGGGAAGGCAGTGGAGGATGGCCCAAGTGCTTGGGCCCTGCACCCGCATGGGAGACCAGGAGAAGCATCTGGCTCCTGCCTTCAGATCAGCGCAGTATGCCAGCCACAATGCGCCAGCAGCAACGGCCATTGGAGGGTGAACCAACGGAAAAGGAAGACCTTTCTCTCTGTCTCTCTCTCACTGTCCACTCTGCCTGTCAATAAAAAAGAAAAGAAAGAAAAACCATCCATGGATTTCAATTTTTTTTGCATCGGAAGAAACTTACCTTTTATTAATTTTTAAAAAGATTTATTGATTTATTCATTTGAAAAGTAGAGAGAGGCAGCATAAGACAGAGGAAGGGAGAGAGATCTTCCATCTACTGGTTCATTCTCCAAATGCCTGCAACAGCCAGGGCTGAGCCAGACCAAAGCCAAGAGCCAGGAACTCCATTCTGCTCTCCCACATGGGTATCAGAGACCCGAGTACTTGGGCCATCACCTGCTGCCTCCCAAGAACGTTCACAGGCAGCTGGACTGGAAGCAGAGGCAGGCCGTAATCCCAGGCGCTGACACTAGATTCAAGTGTCCAGGCAGTGACTTAACCTGCTGTGCCACAATGTATGCCCCAAAACTTAGGTTTTAAGTCCATTTTCCACAAATTTTTTGACATATGTGTAGGTACTCCTGTTTGAGCTGTTTTTAACCTTGTCTAAAGAATACCAAGTTATACATAATGGCTTTTTTTTACCCTATAAAATCTTTAGGTTCACCCACATTAAACATGTCTCTTTTTTACTTTCCTATTTTAATAATATGGCTTTGGGGATAGCATGGTGGTCTAGCCACCTGCTGCCTATGACACTGGCATCCCAAACCAGAGTCCTGGCTGCTCTGCTTCTGATCCATCTCCTGCCAATGCACCTGAAGATGCTAAGCAGCAGAAGATGGGCCAAGTATTCGGGCTCCTGCCACCCATGTGGGAGACCCAGAAGGAGCTCCTGGCTCCTGGCTTCAGCCTGGGCCAGCCCTGTCTATGGCTGCCATTTGGGGAATGAATCAGCAGATGGAAGATTCTCTCTCTCTCTCTCTCTCTCTCCCCCCCCCCCCTTTCACATAAATAAATCTGAAAGAAACAAAGAGAAAGGGAGGGAGGAGAGAGGGAGGGAGGAAGGAAAAATCACACTGGCAGCCGGCGCCGCGGCTCACTAGGCTAATCCTCCACCTAGCGGCGCCGGCACACCGGGTTCTAGTCCCGGTTGGGGCGCCGGATTCTGTCGCGGTTGCCCCTCTTCCAGGCCAGCTCTCTGCTGTGGCCAGGGAGTGCAGTGGAGGATGGCCCAGGTGCTTGGGCCCTGCACCCCATGGGAGACCAGGATAAGTACCTGGCTCCTGCCATTGGATCAGCGCAGCGCGCCAGCCGCGGCAGCCATTGGAGGGTGAACCAACGGCAAAGGAAGACCTTTCTCTCTGTCTCTCTCTCTCACTGTCCACTCTGCCTGGCAAAAAAGAAAAAGAAAAAGAAAAATCACACTGGCCATGATTCTGCAGCTCCACAACCCCTCCAAAAACTGGTACTGTCAGATTTCATAATTTTTGTCTATTGAATGAG